ATTGTCTCTTATGAAAAAAAAATAATTGAGACAAATAAAAATTAATTGAGACTCCATTATATATGAAAAACTTAGTGTCCAGTTTTACTACCCAATATATGGATGTATACTTTTTTTGGTTGGAAATGAAAATACTACTTGTCATTAAGTAACACAGTAATATAATTTTCTTTTAACAGCCTCTAAAGTTATTTACAAGCATTTACAACTTTTATTGAATTAAATTTAAGACATAGTGATTTACAGAAAATTCTATTCTACAAAAGGTTTTTTTTTTTGGAAAATAACACAAAATTTCCCAACATACACCACCAGTATATGGTAATAAATGACAAAAAATAACTGAACTCAGCCACACTATACTTTCCTTTCCCATCTACGCTTGTGTAAAGATCCACCACACCTTTGACTTTTGATATAGCTTCAAGACATTCTTTCCGAGTCGGGCTGGTTCTCCTAGTCGTTTTATCAAAATAAATTGAAAAATATTTTCTCAGCTCGTCTTCCTCATCTTTTAACCATTTTCTTCTTGTGCCTATCAAAAGAAAAAATATCAATGATTTTATGCTGACATCTGTATGTTGGAAGGCGTCTATTTAACGCAATGTTGGTAGACCTATGAGTGCTTAACTATTCCTTTTTTTTTTTATTCATTCTGCCTTTGAAGTTCCTATATTTAAGCCATACCCATTTGGATATATGCAAAGTCCCTTTGCAATGAAAAAAATAGTTTCTTTTTATTTAATGCAATGAAAAATATTTTCTTTCCTTTTTCAGTGTTTGAAAAACTCAACGACTCCCCTAAGGAGAACTTACTGGGCATTCTACAAATGTAGATTGTGATTTTCAATTAATCAATCTTTTCCTTTAAAGATGACTTACTTGTCTTTGCTCTCTTCCTTGTCCCCAGAATATCCACACCATCATCATTCACAAAATCTTCCACAACATTTTCTGAAATGCAAGATACATGAACTATTTTATCTTCTTTTAAACACTTTATATAAAGTTTTCATCACTTCTGTTTAGGTGGTTATTAGCTTCAATCAACACATACTATGATAAGTTCAACTTGAGGGTATTATTTTTGTTTAAGGCAGACCTGTTTACTCTTACGATTTCGCCGTATTTTATACGGATTTTTAGTACAAAATACGTCTCACGTTATGATGTTATAAAAATACGGAAATACATTTCTTCGGAATTTTCGCATTAAAAGTTTTCTTTATGTTCCTTTTGGAAATCAAATTGATTGAGTATACGTTGTTTAAAGTCCCTCTCTCGAATCTTTCATTTCTATGGAGACGCCACTACTTGCCGGTGGAGAACTGCAAATTTTTCCTCTACTCGGGCCATTGAGCGGGGAGGGGTCTTTTTCGTGCAAGCACCTACTGCGTCCTTACTTCGCTACTCTAGAGCAGACGCTCTAACCACTCTGCCACGCCGGCGACTAAGTAATCAGAAAAACAGTCTTTCTCCATAAATATATGTAAAATCAATAAAAAATGGAATCTCACTGGCAAATGTCAAATCTCACGGAAAAATTTCATCAAAATTACTGAGAAACAACGATATGGGTAAACAGGTCTGTTAAGGTCAACTTTTTTGGACTCTGAACCTCTCTTCAAACTCATCTTTCCAAGCTATAAGTTTTAACGTTGATACAGTTTTTTTTCGAATTTGACCTTGATTTAAAAAGTTAAGGTCAATATTTCAAGGTCACAAGCACCTTGCTTTGACGTCACCTTTCCTTGTTGTATATTTCAAGTCTTTATGTCAAAAGGTTCGAAGGCCATAGTTGAACATTTTTTTAAGAACTTGACTACTTTAATAGCCTCATCCTGAATAAAAGCAAAAAAAGCATACCATGAAAAATTACTGATAATAGTATTTTTAAACAAAATGGTTGGATACTGAATTATTTTCATTATTAAAACATTCTATGCCTTTTTTGAGCCCTGTTATTAAAAATATGGAGTATCATATGCAATGCATGAGACTAATTATTACACTAATCAGCTCATGATCAGTTGTGGCATTTCAATTAAGTTTTTATATGATCCTTTCTTAAATGGGTTTCAATTATTTCTGAAAAAATGTTAGTGTTTTATCACCAAATTGCTCTTTTAAGGTATTTCAGTGTTCTTGAGATTTTTCTAAATTGTAGATATTTTGCACATAGTATACTTTAATGTTAAATAAAATGTACTCCATTCAGTGTACAGGCCACATGGATAGTCTGATCTAGTACGAGGCTGCAGTCAAATTCAAGCTGGACTCCTTTACCGTTTCTTTCGCCAAAACGGAAAATATAGAGGTAGGGTTTGAAACCCGCAGGACTCTTCTGCCCTCTAATGGCCTCATTGAGTGAAATCAGGAAGTCTTCCTGATCACCTGGCAATACATGCATTTTGGCTAAATCCGAAAGAGCATATCTGGAGAGTGTCTGCAGGCATCTACCTTCCGTCACCATCTGAAGCAGCTGGAGCTTCCATCTGGAAATCACCCCTTTGAAGTACTCAGCTGATAACAAAATAACATCCCCATCCAAACTCGTTGAATTCTGCAATTATTTTCCTCAAAGAATAATTGTTACATATAATTGTAGGCGTTTCCTCTTTTTTTTTTAAATACCCAATTCCCATGTTATTTTCTGTAGGTATATCATTGTAAAATATTTTTTCTTAAAAAAAGCAACAACTTCATAATTTATAAACCAGTTTTGAATTTAAAAAATATTGATTTATAGTTAAACCAATTTTTAGTCAATTCTTAAACCCAACACTGGGTAGGTCTCACTTGGAAAGTCGGTAGATTAGTAATGAGATGCGGGGTCTACATTATTTTCAGTAATTACGTTTCTCACCCCTCCCATCCCAAACAACCGATAGATGGGTTAGGTTGTATATTGTTTAACGTCCCTCTCGAGAATGTTTCACTCATATGGAGACGTCACCGAAAATGGGAAGTATCTTCAATGTTGAAGGCTACGATGTATTGGTTCAAAGTTGTTGATGTAGGCGCCTGAACTTTCTAAGAAGTAAATATACCATAAAACAATGATATCTATTTAAATGAATAAAGAAAAATGCAACAAGAGAAAAGATATATTGGATGTCATTAGAAAAATGAACAAGGAAGCTGGGGGTTTGTCTTTCAATTGAAGAATTTTAATATCTTTAAGTTTAAATATTATGTTTAAACTAAGCTCTTTTAATACAATATCACACTAACTACAACTATACAGGAATTTGTTGTGGATACAGTTTTTTCATTATTGTAGGTTTGGACAACTACATCAGATATATTTACATGTTGTCCAATGCCATTTCTTTTAGAATGCTAGGTCACACCACAGAGAGACTTTGTATTTCCCTGATTATAGTACATGAGTAATTTGGCATGCAAGTATTGTTCACTGAGATACATCGTCATTATTCTGTTTATTGCTGTTGTGAAATTCAAGTCAATCGCAACTTCTCGGGCCTTTCCGACTAGCGGAAAAACGACCTCGAATGTATATAGAAGCCGCCATGACAACCCTTCTTTTTCACTCACGATCTTTGAAATAAATGTATGGAGACCTTTTATCTGTGGAATATGGAGATAAGCTTTATTCAGTGTAATGACATTACCTAAAATATACCATAGAAGGGACTTCATGGAATATTGAAATATATATTTGAATAAACAGGAAATGTATAAAATTTTAACATCCGGTGATATTGTACATTCGAGGTTGTTTTTTCGACCTCTGACGGAAAGACCCGAGATGATGCGATTGGTTTCAAGTACCAACTGCCACTTTTCTTTGTTTAAAGTATTAACAAGTAGAGTAACAGTCTCGACAGAGACTTCTGGTTTTCTACAGATTCTTGCAATTTTTTTTTATATATGTAGGCTTATAAATCTTGCATGTTAATAATTTCTTCTGTAATACGTTCTTCCTAGTATTTTCGCCTTTTGAAACAAGTAAAATCATTGATTCCAGCATTTACATAAATGCTAATATTATTGTTTTCAAAATGAAGAAATGTTTGAAGGATGGTGATCATCCTGACTCCAAGGAATGTTTTTACTTATGCATTTTCAACAGACAGATTTTTCCCTCTATTGTCCGCAAATATTTGAACAGATTCCATATCTACAATGAAATTTTTAAAACAGGGTTCAGTCCCTACTACCATCACTTTAGAAGATATTAAGATTCTCACAGATCCCAGATTCCGCGATTTTTCTGATTTTCACAACCATTGGGCTAGTAAAAGTGAAACTAATATGGAAGTATCCTTAGGTAGTGTAGATTCAAGGTTTTTTATGGCTTACGAAGCCATTATAGTTCCCGGTCAGGCCGGTGTATCTTTACGGCAAAGAGTTCACTGTGTATTCTAGTAGACATGAGCAAGATAAAATAGTCCTCGTCTTTTCTTTAATTCTAGTTTACCTTTGTTGTGAAAATTACTCACCAAGTTCTTATAAAAAAACTTGTTATTTTCATTTAATTTTCGCTACTGAAGACAAGATAAACCAAATAAAAAAAAACTAAATTGAATAAACTCTTGTGAGGTTGCGGAAGAATATCTTCTGACCGTATGTGTAAACAGCGCCACCGTCTAGGTAAGTCGATCTATAGTCTGTCCCACGACCGGAACGTCACTACTTTTTACAAAATATCTCAAAATAAATAAATACCTTGGACTTCAACCTATATCCAATTGGTAGATTGATTTTTTTCCAAACTTCCTGCATTTATCCGAACCCTCGAGGTCAACCAGTGTATACACACGGCGGCAAATTCAAAGTCTACGGGGATTTAACATGGTAAACTCGTCCATCAACGTCTAGGTTACGGGGCCGGGAACCAGTTTTTGAAGGGAGTAGTCGGCCTTTGCAAAATAAATTTCCGAAAAATCATTAAAAATTAAAGGAATTAATTTAAATTGCTTTCATTGATAATACAACTTTCACTTTGAATTAAAATTAATTTTAACAGCAATTAACAAGTTTAATTATTAACTTCGAGGAAATAGTCCGAATCTAACGAAGTATAACTTGTGGAGAATGGATGTTGACATGATGATGCAAGCTCGCCAGTGTTTAAAACGTAAGTTGTTTAATATTTCTATGGTATTTTTGCGCTTTTGTTGTTTTACTAGCTCATATACACACAAGAAAGAAGTGTCTACAAATGGTAAGAGTGTATAAATTTCAAAACGCGTGATATTGATGACATTAGATACAACGATTTCAGCTATTTGTATTTGGTAAGTGCTCATGGTTATTGTGCCCTGTAACGGTCTGTATGAAAGCCCATGTGTGAAAAAATTCTATGATTATAATAGAATAAGAAGATGGTTAAACAAGTAGGTGAAAAACTAGTGCTAATTGTAACGGGGACCGTTACAGATGTTCCCCAAACGCTCCCCAACTCCTTTTTGATGCCATATTCCCTGTAAGCTTCATTAAATAAGACAAACTCTGTGCATTTTGACTTTAACAACGTTTTCTCAGAAGGATACCAATTATATTCAAATTTTTGCATTGCACCCGTGCGCATGTGAATGCATGTCCGTTATGATCATATCATCTTGTCTACACTATCTACATATTTTAATATACAATATATTAAAGCATTCAGTCCAAAAGTATGAAAAATCACTCTTTTAAATGTATTTTTCATTTCACTCGTTCCAAATGCACGCACGTGCGTGCACGTGCATGATGACCATACCTTCTTGTAGGAGTCCCTTACATCTATCTATATTCTAAATCCCATCCTGTTTGGTTGAAAAACAAGGGAGTTATAGCCATTTCAAGTTTAAGCCAATCAGATTGCAGCACACGTGCATGCGCGTGATTTCATGATTTTTTTCTATATCATATTGTAGGATATTCTAATGCATGACAATGTTTTAAATTTCAAAGCATTTCGTCAAAAAACAAAGTAGATATTGCCATTTAAAGTTTCAGCCAATCAGATTGCAGCACGCGGGCATGCGCATGATTTCATGAAAATTCTTATATATCATGCTGTAGATCTTCATAATGTAGGTCTATGTTCAAAATTTCAAAGGATTATGACAAGAAACAAGAAAGATATTGAGACTTTAGTTTCAGCCAATCAGAGCGAAGCACACGTGCATGCGCGTGCGATCTTGCTATTTTGACCATGTCATCTTGTGCATACTCTTAATATATACTTATAGAATGAGTTTCAAAGCATTTCATCAATAATTTTAATAGTTACGTCTGTATCAATTATATTGGACATTTCTCGTGTTGCACGTGCGAGCTCTTGCAAGCACATGTGCATGCACATGCTTTCATGAAAAATCTTATATTACAGGCTGTAGATCTCCCTAATGTATGACTATGTTCAAAATTTCAAATGATTTTATCAAAAAACAAGAAAGATATTGAGACTTTAGTTTCAGCCAATCAGAGCGAAGCACACGTGCATGCGCGTGCGATCTTGCTATTTTGACCATGTCATCTTGTGCATACTACTAATATATCCTAACTTTATAAGTTTCAAAACATTTCGTCACAAAATAGAGAAGTTACGGTTATATCCATTATATATTGCTCATTTTAAGTTTTGCACGTGCGCGCTCTTGCAAGCACATGCGCGCAAAATGACCTTGATTCCGCAAATCTACATAACATGCCTACTTACCCTAAAACGGTTTCACCTAAGTCGGATGTGTAGTTTACAAGATCACTCGCGGACAAAATTTTCCCAGGAAGAAAAATAATAATAATAAGAATAATAATAATAAGAAACAGAGTGAAAACAATATGTTCCCCAACTTCGTTTGGGGAACATAATTACCAGAAAGAAAGGCACAGCTGATTATCATAGCAATTAACTTAAGTTTATTTCTACTTTCATTTTCAATTTATAACATTTCATGTACATGCATTTGGCACATATATAACAAACTATAGATCTAAAGAACATTTTTAATTTTACATTTATGTGTAGTATCAACACTCTGGGAGCATCAAAACAGAGTTTTCAATAGATAACACATTCTAATTATTTTTTAAAACTTTATTTATAATATTAAAATATGTGCATGTATTTTTTAAATTAAATCTTTGTCAATTAAACAGGATTGAGTTCTAATGGTGATTTATGTACATGCATGCATATTGATGAATTAATTAGCAGAACCAGACATAAAGTAGATGAATATGCATGTTACCTGGCTGTTTCAGGAAACCATTTTCTTGACCTTGCAGTTTAATTGAATGAGAAAGTGATTTAAACACTATTCATGAAAGGAAAACAGAAAGAACATGTCTGTATAATTTGATCAGCATAGAAAGTTAAGATAGGCTGAATCGTTTCATCTGAATCTGAGTACAGACTTGTAAATATGTACATATAACACCAGAGACAAATTCCCATCAATACTGTCATGTACATACTATGAGTTCAAATTCTCAGCCAGGTCTTCTTTAAAAAAAGTTTGATTGCCCTGTCCCAACCAACTGGCTAATGACACTTTTTTTTTTTTGTAATCTCCAGCAATCTTTTTTTTGGGGGGGGAGGGGGGGGGGGAAATTAATAAAATTTATATTAAATTTTCTGAGAATAATTTTCTCACCTACCAGCCAACCTAATCCTGAGTTGGGAGAGGGCAAGTGAACGCTATTTTAAAGCTGGACATAGCCTCAACATCATCATTTCTCTGTAAAGTCCTATACTGCTTAAATGTGAACTTAATTTGAAAATTTCCGTTTCCTTAACTATAGAAGATTATCAGCTAAGTAATTGTTTTAAAAAACTGCAGGCCATGATTAATAAATTATTTTTGTTTGATATACTCTGTCACACATTTTTCAAGGAGGGTAGGTATAGGTAGCTTTTTTTGGCTTAATAGTATTGATCAAAGTGATATTAAAGTGTCATTAAAAAATTGCAGACTCATAAATTATAACAGTTTTCAATACACACTAGATAACTATAGACAGGTGAAATATTAATCATTAAAAATTTTTAACTAAAAGCATCCAAGAGAATTCAGAAATCATATACCACAGTTTTAAAATGAAACAGTCTCTATTACTGTTAATGAAACTAAATTAAAAAAAAAAAATTCAAGTTGCTTATAAAAATTGTTGGGGCATTTTGATGGGTCAGTCGGAGTACATCAAACAAAACATTTTATCCTTATTTGCTAGTATTTGTATAGCATGGTTGACTTGACCTTTGACCTACTTTACAAAGAAATATCCCAGTCAATTTAAATTAACTTAAGACTTTTGAGTGGCGGTGTTGATAAATTAACATTTATTCATGTTTATTAACTTATAATACTGTTCTTTGAAATTGTATGATATATATATTCAGAAACCACACAAACTGATATCTTAAACATTACAAGATTACATTGGGATTTGGTCCCCCAAAGTTGATCAAGCAATGTGACAATTGCTTTGAAACGCATATTAACACGTTAAATGATAAAATTAATAATTGTTTATAATGATTTCAACTAAATTATTCAGTTGAGGGTTGCATACTGTATATGCCAGTAGCATAAAAATAGCTGGCCACTCATAGAGTTAGATACATCTTAATAAAGAAGCTAAAAGCAAGTGACACATTTGTTCCTTAAATTGGAACACTCTAGTTTATGATGAAATTGATGTCCTGTTATGCACTTTTATGACACTTTCTCTTCTTTCAGCAATATGAAGCTTGATTTAGACACTGCAGTATAAGGAGAGAGGCAGACCAGAAACCTTTGGCTAAAGCAAAGATAATATGCATAACATAAGTAGTAAGTCTACTATAAAATTCAAGATATTTAAAACATCCTGTCTCTTTTAAATACAGTGGAGCCTCATTTATCCATCCACTTTGTTTTATGGTCAATTTGTCCGGATATGTGAAGCATCCACATATCTGAATTATCTGCTAAACAAGAAAAAATATTAAACGTTAAAAAATTTTGTTCTGATGAAAAATCATCCGGATACTGAAGCATCCAGTAATCTGGTGTTCGGATATCTGAAGGTCCACTGTACATGTATTGAGAATGAATTTTTGACGCTCTGAGCACCTGCTGTCTATTACACTTTTCCCTCTAAATTCTTTCAATTGTATATTATTCTCTTAGTATCCTTATATTTCTTCCCATGAACCACTGGGACAGAAAAGTTGAAACTTATGTGGAAGCATCCTGGGAGAGAGTAGATTCAAAATTGTTCAAATTATTAGGTCGGGGCCACAATAGGGAATCAAACTTTAAAATTGAAGTACTCAGTATATATTAAGAAAATTCTATAAAAAATTTCTTCTAGGGAATTACTGGGAAAGCAAAGCTAAAACTTATGCAAAATCTTTGTGGGGTAGTGTAGATTTTATATTGTACAATTTATGACCCCGGGGGTAGGTTGGGGTCAGAAAAGGTATAACAAGGGGTTAATCTTGTAAAGAACTGCATGGTCAAAGCTATTCAGGTAAGCAATGTGGCCCATGTGCCTCTTGTAATATTTTTGTGTGAATAAAATGCTTTTGCAATATATGTGATAGTCATTATATTTTACAGGATATTTGAGAAAATATTAACTTCAAATCTGTGTAAAAGCACCTTTAATAATGCACAATCTCACCATTTGAAAGAATAAACAAACCTTGATCAAAAATATATTAATGAATGAAGCATAGAATATTTGATTATACATGTAATTTTATTACTAACTTACAAAATGATGTTTTATAGGTTACATAATTCACAAGAGTGCAAAGTTATGATGACCATGCAGAGACAAGATACCATAACAAAGACATGCATGAAGAAGGATGTTCACTCAATTTTTCAGAATAATGTGTCAGATTGAAAGTCATCTTATGTTGGACAAAACAATCAGGACGTTCATCTGGATCACAGCTAGTAAGTAGTTATTTGAATGAAAAAGATTTTACTCTTCCTACGTATACTTCAGATTGGAACCTGAAAATGAGAATTAACCAAGTATATGTATTTTTAATAAGTAAACAATTCATGTTACTTAATATGATGAACATGATCTGAATTTTTAATGTATCTTTAAATTTCACTTTGTGCAAATTTATAAGTATTTTTTATGCACTGAATCTTATGACAAATTAAAATGTTTTATCATTAATTTTTCAGACACAAATTAAAGTATTGACAAAACCAAAGATTACCTGGTAGTCTGCAAATGGAGTGATCATTGGATGAGCCAGACAACACCATTTTCCTCAGAAATTTTAGCATAGAGACAAGTCACTTGATCTCCATCTTCATTCATAGATGACTGATGTCGACATTTTCTCACTTCTGTTTCATGTCTTTACTACAAGTCATGGACTCCACACTCCAGCATCAGTGGGCGCTTGACTTTTATAAACATTTATTCCTCTGAAATTCATATAATATCCTTTAATATAGGACATATATAACAAATTATTTATTTTGTAAAATATTTTTAAATTTTACTTAATTAATAAAACAATAAAAACAGTTCATACAAACTGGTTTATCCTATAATCTAAAACTGTTTCATGTTTGAAGTAATTTATAATTTTACTGTTAAGATACTTAAGGATCCCCAGACAGGAAGGATAACTCTTTAATTTACAATTTAATTCATAGTCTGAAAGTGAAGCTTGAAATTTCAATCTTTTCGTGCAACAATTTTCATTTTATCATGATAATATTTATAACTTCTCAATGTCCTTTAAGGTTGTTTGAAGTTCTCAGAAAGGTCTTATAAAAAGTCCCAATTTTTAGTTTTAACTTGTTAAGTAAAACTAGGATAAATAGCAAAGTCAAAATTTGTTTAATCCATATAAGGAATTCATTATATTTACATAGCTGGGGATCCAAGAAAACTTCGCTATATCCCTGAACTCGCAATATCCATCTTCGTTCTAAACATTCAAGTTTTACTGACACAGTAAAAGTATTTCAAAATTACTTTGCCTATTTTATACAGTTATAATAAAATAATTCCAAAGTATTTTACAATTTTAAAAACAGTTTTCTCAATATTCTAGCACAAATAAATAATTTTTAAAGATTTTAGTCTGTATTTATTTCTTAAAAATAAATTTTACTCTTAATACATACAAATTAAACAGAAATGATTTGAAATAAGAGGGCGAGCTGGGACCGTTCCTTGACAACAGGCCGAGACAGAGATATCTCAGCCCTGAGGACGAGACAGCCCTACTTCCCATTTGCTGTCTCGCCTAGTCTAAACAGGGCTGATACACAACTAGGTATATGATATAGGCGAATTAGGAGTATACATGTTTGTGTATTGGGAAATTGTCAATGAATAAACATACTTTGAAAATTTACAAAAAAAAATTTGTTAGGACTGAAAAACAAACTCAAGACATCTGCATTATTTCATACCTTGTAAAATATATCTGCGGGTACTTACGGCTTAAGTTATTACATGTAATGTACACAGCCATGTTTGTGCTTTTCCATCTTGTGTCTTCACCTGGTAGCTATTCAGTATCCTACAATAAAATATTTGTTCTGATAAATCATAAAATTTAATCTGTCAAATTGTTTTACGGAAAAAATTATATTGAAAATATACATAATTCTTCACACTTGCGTTATGTACTTTAATTTTGTGTGTATAGGAATATTTTAATTTTTGGTATTCTGTTATATTTGTGGGAAACAAAGATGCATATCCTGGGTCTGAATTTACCTAACACTGATATTACAGGAAGTTTTGGAAGGGCAAGGTCAAAATTCATTGGTGACGTAGATTGATGCAGACAACAAATGTTGTCTTGCACTGGGATTTTAAAATAAAATATCAACAAAGGATTTATGTGTTTAAAGCGTTGGATGTATAACAAAGTCAGGAAATATGTGCATGTAAGGACATCAATTGTTCACATAGAAACGATTTGAAGCTTATTTTGACCGTGTGTCACAGTTTACAACAAACTATAAGGGGTTGGATTTATATGGAAAGCTAGGGAGAAACGAAGGTAAGACAGCATTTTTTTTAAATCTTAATACTGCTGTAGTGATATAAAAGCAGTCATTCACTCGAGCTAAATTTGCAGTAACGTAGCCTTGATTTTTTTTTTAATATAGCAAGGTGATGATGGCAATTTACTTACCCCTTCTGCTGTTTTATATGAATTGAGTCATACCTCTTTGCTTTATGCAGTGTATAACCCTTTAATGAATCTTTGATCCCTTCGGTCTCAGTCTGGGTATGAACAGATGAAAGTTTTGTTGAAGACGTAATTTTTGCAGTGCAAATACATATACTTGGCAGTCTCGGGCATTATAGGTAATTTGGACGTCGATAACCATAGAGCACTCCCGAACGTGCGTGACGTCATTACCTTACTGACGGCAATGTACGGAAAATTACGAACAATGGATGATCCCCTTCCGAAGCGGTGGCCATTTTGACAATGTTAAATCCCCGTAGACTTTGAATTTGCCGCCGTGTGTATACACTGGTTGACCTCGAGGGTTCGGATAAATGCAGGAAGTTTGGAAAAAAATCAATCTACCAATAGGATATAGGTTGAAGTCCAAGGCATTTATTTATTTTGAGATATTTTGCAAAAAGTAGTGACGTTCCGGTCGTGGGACAGACTTTAAATGAAAGAAAGAGAACTCTGTCGGGAGTACGTTATCGCGCCAGATAGGCTAGTTCGTAGGAATACAGATTACATGTATTTTACCTTACAAACTGTTTAAACAGCTGCTACAAGCTGTGATTTTCTAAGGCCGTTTTTGCATGGCGGTTAAACGCGATCACGATCTCCTGCCAACTCAATGTGAACTCAATGCTAATCGTGGCACGGGGTATGATGCAATAGCCTATAGCCTTAGCTGTCAATTTTTGTTCATTGCAATTTAATTACTGGTATATTACTAAGTATCAAGCTTGTAGTTGATGAATATATTAATTAATAACCATAAAATGTAATTGATGGCTGTCAGATAGCACGAACGGTAAAAGGAATACACTTGCTAATGTATAATGTGGGGTTTTCCGACATTCGCAGGTCGTTCTATAAATAAAATTGATGCCCCGACATTAAAAAAAAAGATTCATCATTTAAACACATAATAATTAAGACAATTTTTTGCATTCATATACTGAAAATGAAACGTGTGATTAACATTTTCAATGTTTCTGAATTTACTTTGTGAACTCTGGAAAGCACTTAGTTCAAACGCATGTGCTTCTAATACACTATTCAGAAGCGCTCCAAGTGACAATATCTAAATGCAGTAAGGATTACATTGGTGCTACATAATGAGAACAAAAAGTTTCAAGATAACTGAAAGAGTAGATACATAAAAAATAAGGGAGGGTCATTGGGGGCCTATATATATTTGTAGATAGCAAAATAAGCACAATACTGTAACATAAAACAGTAAAAAGACTGGCTTTATAGAAAATTTTAAAAGAACAATTTTTCGTGATTAGATCTCTCTATATGAAAAACTCTATTGTTGAATAATTTTAAGCAAAAACTTACAATTTGTTCAAAATAATACATATTTAGCTTTTATTTACCTTTAAAAAAGGTTATTAATGAATTTGTATTTTTCATTTAAATATGAATTTAGATAAAATAAACTCAACTGCAAAAAAAAAAAAACGCCTCACGCCGTCAATTCAGCGACCCCTTCCCTTGCAGTAAGAAATTTCTGAGGAAACACTAAGTAATATTCTAGTATACTACATTTCCTTACATTTTACATCCATGTCAAGCACGTAAGCCATTATGGCCCTTCAGGCCTTTGATTTTCAAACACGACTCCCGAGGATAGGGTGTGGCCACAATGGCTGATAAAAATTTTACATAGGAATCCAAAAAAAAATCCATAGAAAAATGTTAGAAATCTGTTCAAGATCAACACAGCTGTGATTGTTGATATTGATATGAAAAAATCCTCAATTAGAGTAAGTTCAAGTTTCTTCATATCATGACCCCTTGGGGTAAGGAGCTGTCATAACGGGCAATAAAATCTTTATATAGAATATGTAGGAAAAATCTTTTAAAACTCTTCTTCTAAAGTATGGCACTATTTTACATGTATGCTTTATTGATATAGTGACAGGAAATTAAAAAAAAAATCTGTCTTTGTTTCGAAAGACGAGATTGATCAAAATGGACACAATGTCATCAATAGGGATTAAACACTTTTCATTTAAGCATCTTTAGTGGGTAGGTCAATCAAAAGGGAAATATCCATAGCAAAGGTGTAGAAAGTATTGAGTCATGTCACTCTTGGCAGACTTGTGAATCACAAATTTTCTCCACAAATATAATTACATGTCATTAGTGTCCACTTGCATTGCCGTCACATGAAAGCACCTTAGGAATCACCTTGTTGAGGTGATTAATGTACGCATTACACATGTCCACAGTCACTGAATTCCAGAACTCAAGGTTTCCATTAATAAGGTCCTCTCGACTTCTTGGTTTGACTCTTCTTCGGATATGAAATATGAGAGCAGCCCACATGTTTTTGATTGGATTTATGTCTGTACCATGTATGAATCAGTTGTAATTTTTGTTCCAGTTTGATAATTATAAAAGATATTATTTTTTTTTTTACATTCTGGTATTAATACACTCTTGTACTTTTTATCGATGTCTAGTAAGATGGGAGCCCAAGATATATATTAATACTATATTGTTGTATGTTATTCATATTCATATAATTAATTATACATGCAATGTCCATATTCATAAGCATCAAAACAAACTTAGGATGATCTTAGGACAGGTATTATGTTGTCCTGAAGTTGGGAAAAATTTAGGAAAGTTCCTAAATTTAGGAAAGCTTCGAGAAACTGACTTAAGACTAGGATATTTCCTTAGACGTTCTTAGGACACACCATAATCCTCAGATAGCTTCGTGAACATGCCTGCTGGATAAAAAAAATCTTATTCTCCTTAACTGTGTCAATTTGTTTTCCTTTCATAGGGTACAAATGTCACTTTTATAATACCTTTTCTAAGACTTCCAAAAACCTTGAATCTTATAAAGATTAATAAATGACAATTGTTGCATGAAAAAAAAATCATTTTCAAGCTTCACTTTGATGCATTTCAAATCAAATATTGATTTTTGGAGTTATCCTTTCTGGCTGAGGGTCGGATATCCTTAAGGTGATGCAAATATTTAAGATGTTGTATTCTTAATAAACTCAATCTCAATGCATTGACAATTGTATTTTGTCGATGTGAACGTGTCAATGCATTGACAATTCCATTTTGTCAACGAGTAAATGCATTGA